GAGGGAGCCTGGCTCCGGTACCGAGGTTTTCTGGGAGCGGTGGGGCAAAGGGTGCTCGGGAGCGCTGGAGGAGCCCTTGGGCGGCTCCGGAGGGGCCGCGGGGGTCCCTGTCCTGCCCGCACACTGCCCGGGCGTAGCTGGTTTAGTGCAATTCCTTTTCGGGTCCTAAAGCACGAAGGAATAAGGCCCGTGTTAGTGATGAGCCGGCGTGTCAGTGGTGCACTGGTATCGCATGTAGCACTGGTTTTATGGGGTGACTTTGTAAGACACCGGACTTAAAGTCATGAAAGATAGCTTGCCCTGGCTGCATTGCCATGTTGTGCTGGTTTTGGATTTCTAAACCTCTTGTTGAGTTACTTTACTGGTATTTGGTACTGCGTTCTAATTGATTACAGGTAAAAACACCTTTGCTATCCAAAATCACAGTTAAGAAAAGCTGAACATTCTATGTGTGATGTGTTTTGGTTGTCTTTTTTTTTTTTTCTTTTTAAAGTCAATGATTTGTTTTGAATATTCAGTTGACCTCCCAGCTGACTTTGGCAGCCCTTTGAAAAAGGAAGCTTTGGAATAGTATTTAAGTAACTGGAGAGGAAAGCAGAAGGTTACCAACGTAGTAACATACTGTCTTGTAATTGCATTAACCCATAGCGAGAGCTGTGGAACTTGGGTAAATTACTTGCAAAGCATGATGGCTTTACTTGATGTAGAACATCATGGTTTTACCTCAAGTAAGACCTATGGAGCATAAAAATGTTGGTGCTGTCTTTGACAATGAACTGTTAGCATTGTTCCAAGTCTTAAAGCAGTCTAATATTTGCATTCAGGGAAACAGATGTCAAATTATTGTACGTAACAAGCACTCACTTTACCTGTTCAGTGTCAGGTAAGGGATACTGAAAAGCAGAGAGGCCAAATCATGTATGTTCAAATTCAGACTTGATGTAGTGTTACATTATTGCATGTGAAGGAGGCCAGCAGATATTTGTGTACTGTTGTAGTGTGTAAATGTTGAATTTTGTCTTGCTCTGCAACTGATGATGGTTACATTCAGTTGCAGGAGGTGGTCGCCTGTTAGACAGGATTCGCAAATGGTATTATAATGCAGCTGGATTCAACAAATTAGGTAAGTATTTTGTTGAGTTTTTAAAAGTCTGCAAGTGTACACTCAATCTAGTTATGTTTCACAACTAGTCTATGTACGTACAGTTTGGCATAAGTCTTTTTGATCAAAATTATTTGCTACTATTGTGAGGAAAAAGCTAGGAGTAGCTTCAGTCATCATGATTGCTACCTAGTAATGAATCAGTAACTTGTCAGTTATTTCTGGGTTTGCTCTTGTTTTATAACAAGCTTGTATAACAGCTAAGGTTAAGCAGGAGCAGTTGAAAAAACTTTCACAGAGCAGTCCTGAAAGTTTTATTTATCTTTTCCTACCAAGTCATTTTCACTGGCCAGTATCTTCTAACTCAAAGGTTGCCCTTGAAGCTGGAGCAGTTCTCACTGATAGCAGTCAGTCTGTCTGCGTTGCTTATGTGAAGTATCCAAAGTGCAGAGAAGAATTTAGTTAGTTCTGCCCTTTGTATCACCGTAACTTCACTTGGTGTCTCTCTGGCCTGCACAATGGTGAAGTAGGTGTAAAAAATAAGTGTTTCTTTAAGTAGAGGAGGTTGCCTTGATGGTATTGTCTTCAATTTGTTCAGTTGTTACCAAGTTTGTTTCAACTATTTAGATGGCAGAACTGTTCTTGAGTGACAAGAACATCTAAATATTCAGAGGCCGTAACTTACCGCTGACCACAGCATGAGCAAATAATTTAAAGGAAGTTAATGTATCTGCCCTGGGGAAGTTAGAAAAAAAAATTGCAAGACAACTGTAGAGGAGTAAGCTTAGGTCTTTCCTCCAGAGATGCAGTGCTTAGCCCCTCTTTTTATATCTGTCTGCTGCAATTCTTAAAGGCACTAATACTTTTTGCCGCTTTTCTGGGAATGCAGCTAAAAACTGAGGAGAAACACCAAATTTAATCTAGTGATTAAACTAGCAGCTATGCTCCCTATGGCTTTGATTATAAACTTCTGATTATAAAACTGAATTCAAGAATATGTGGCTCAAAAGAAATTTCTGGGGTTTTGGGAGACAACTGCTAATTTAGTTGCATGAGATCAAAATCTTTAACAACAAGTCAGTAGGTATTCTCTTGTAATCTGCACCAGTCTTGGAAAGTTGCAGAGGTAACATTTTGTCCTATGTTGTTAATACATTGGTTGAATTTCAGGAATCCTTTGTCCCACAAACAGTGTGGGGGTGTTCTTGGCTTTGAGAAGACTAGATTCTTCTCCCAGTTTAACTTCTGATTTGGGGCAGCATTAGAGGGAGCCAACTTATGCACAAACATCTAGCTTCAGGTTTCCATAGCTTAAGATAGTCAATGGAGATCTAGACATACTGAGTTTAGAGAATTTAGAGATTCTTCAGTATGAAGTAGTTACATCTATGGTTGACTGACTCTAATGGATTCAGAGCTCTTAAACCCTTTACCTAGACAGTCATCTTAAATACAAATAAAAAATTAGGTAAGCATAAGTCCCCCTGTCAGACCCAGAATAGTTGTTGTTCTCTGTGTGTGTGTGTGTGTATATATACATTCTTACAAAACACATTGAATCAAATACCTGTTTTCCCCATTGCTCCTTAAGAACAGGAGTAAAAACAAGTAAATGGAGTATGGGTAAGCCAGCATTTAGAGTGTTTGCTGTGATCAATTAGTGCTTCTCTTCTGGATTGGTTTGGTTTTTCTTTATAACTTTGCATTGGAAATGTTTTGCCCATGTTATGTAGAAACACCTGTATCAATCCTAAATCTTAATTAAGACCATTTATTCAGTAATATTGTAAAATCTTCTTGGTATAGGATTAATGCGAGATGATACATTGTATGAAGATGATGATGTAAAAGAAGCACTGAAGAGACTTCCAGAACATCTTTACAATGAAAGAATATTTCGCATAAAGCGAGCACTCGACTTAAGCCTGAAACATCAGATCCTTCCAAAAGACCAGTGGGTGAAGTATGAAGAGGTACGTGTACAGTGTTTCTTGAATGGCAATGCTATGACTGGTCTTTGAGATTTTCAGTCTCTGAAGAAACACATGCTTACACGGTTTTTATAATGAGTAAATGAATGTGTATCACATAGGATGCCTTTGGGAAACACAGCTTTTGATCACTGTTCAAAAATCTCTATTTTTCAGTGGAAATTAGAACATTTTGCTCAAGATGATGATGGCTTAAACTACAGTTCAAAGCCATAGCACTTTTTTATTCAACAAAATATTTCTTCTAAGCTCTCAGATAAAGAAATACACTCTAACTAGCTTGGAAGTTCTTATAAAAAGGTTCCTTGCTTTGCTGATGAATTTCTTAACTTTATAGAAAAATCTTGAGCCAAAGCATTTATATGTGAAGATGCTGAGGAAGAATAATTTAAAGGGAAATCTCACATTCAAATAACAAGATGACACTTAGTTTAAAAACAAACTATACCTTCCTTTTCACATGTAACTAAAATTTGGGGTTTTGATTCACAGACTTCACATTACTGTCCATCTCAGCTTTCTCCAGTTTATCAGGCAGAAAGGAATCTTACCACTAAACTTTTGACTATAGGATAGTATAAGGGTATTATCTTTGTCTATATAAGCAGAGGCTGTTTCTTGTGGTGTTACTGGTTCTGTTTAGGTAACTGCTGCATTGAGTAACTGGTTGCTTAGTTCTTTAAGCAGCAGTTTAAAGTGTTAAACATAGTCAGGGTGTTCCATTGAATCATAGAATGGTTTGGGTTGGAAGGGACCTCAAAGACCATCTAGTTCCACCTCTGCTGCCATGGGCAGGGACACCCTCCCATAGACCAGGTT